GAACCAACGGACAAGTTAACAAGCAGAAAAGTGAATACCGATATATAGAACATAGACAGCTGAGCCCAACAACTGGGTTTGAAAAGGCCTTGCTGAGATAATCGTCATTCTTGACTTGTTCTTGTAAATTTATTTTCACTGCTAATTCGCAATGTTTGGTTCCGAAAGATTTCAGCTACTTTTATAATATGTAAATGTTTTTAATGTGCTGAAAATTATTTTACAAAATTGTGTAAATAACCATTTTTATTATATTTCTTGGGCAATTTTTGTTTCCTAAACTGAGTCTATTGATTTCTTATTAAAAAAACAACATTAACATGTTCTACAATATTGTTTAACATTTGTAAAAATATCTAGAAAATTCTTATCTTTTATGATATTTTCACATTGATATGCTTTAAATTTCATTTTATTTGACTCCTATATATTTAATATTGCTTAATTGAATTTTTGTCTCTTTTTAAAGTGGTCCACTTAGGATTTTCCATTTATCTCTGACGTCAAATGTATTATGGGGCCATCCATAAATGACGTCACGCGTCTGGGGGGGGGAGGGGTCAGATTTTTGTGACGATGTGTGACGAGGGGCAAGGGGGGGGGGGGAGCCTCAAGCCATTTGACTTCACATGAAAAGCAGAATGTTGTAGTAAAAAAATTCACTTCATAACACTGAATGACAGACATTTTTTACATCATTTAAAGAAACAAAACAACTATAAATATTTCATTTTAAAACTACTATCACTGAGAGCATCAGTGCGAGGTCCGAAGAATGGCCTCAGATCAAGTTACAGGACGCCCAGCAGTAGGAGAATCGGAATGTAGTTAACAATGATAGTCGTGAGAATTTATGGCTAAATCTGGACAGGAGAAGTGGGATGGAGCGGGAAAAAAAGGTTGACCGCTGGGGTGGTTTGGGGGGGGGGGCAATCTTAGTAAAAGCTCAAGAGAAGGGATTCTTAATTTTTTTTTTGTTTTTTTTTTTTTGCAGTGGCGTGAGAATTTATGGGGAAATCCGGGCGGGGGAAGTGGGGTGGGGCGGGAAAAAAAGGTTGCCCGCTGGGGGGGGTTGGGGGGGGGGGGCTATCTTAGTAAAAGCTCAAGAGCAGGGATTCTTAATCTTTTTTTTGTTTTTTGTTTTTTGCAGCGTTGCAGGCCCACTCCCTTTTACAAATCCCTCCCCCAACCGTATAAATTACATTATAATAAAATAATTAAATAATTTAGTTATCGTAGTTTTATTTCTTTAATAAACTTTTTATAGACACGGAAAAAAAATTACCAATACACACAATGCGCCAATGAAATTCACCATTGACTGCTGCTAATCGAAATCCATTTTTTTTTTTAAAGCAGCAACAACTAGCATTTGCAGCAAATAGAATCAGTGGCGTAGCTAGGGTTGGTACCACCCGGTCCGGTAAGCTCGTGGTGTCAACCCCGCTCCCCTTTTTTAACGATGTATTTCTTCTTGTTAAACTTAGTCCAAAGTATAAGAAATACAAGAAAAACCAAAAAATTAATTGAACGTTAGGGGGTAAATGTATTTAGGAACTGCAACGTTCTTAGCGTCGCCCACTGTTATCAAAGGATAGTTTTATTTCTCAGAATTTAGATAAAAATAGCTTCCTGCCGCTTACAAAAATTTCCGAACACTTCATTCGGCTATGAAACATGGTCAAATGGTGTGTTTCTGACCTAATAATAGGGTAACCTATTTGCTGACGCATCAACCTTGAAATTTTAATATTAAAGAAATAAACACGCATTTTGATTGGTTACATGGGTGGAAAATGTACGAGTCATCTGTTATCCTTTTACGAATTTCGGTGTGTGCTCTGTAATAACGCTATCTTTCAATTTGGTGTCCCCCCTGAGTCTGTCTGAGATGGTGTCGGTCAAGGCGGTCCGCAACCCCCTAGCTACGCCACTGAATACAATTTTTTGGTTTCCCACACCTTAAGGCTGGGGAGGTACTTGTACCCTTGTTAAAGAAGCACTGACCTAGTGAAATGTTTCTGACACGGGTGCAGTAATTTGATATCCATGGGAGGTGAATTTCTTTAGGGTTTGTAAAGGACAGTAGTGGACAAAGGGATTTAAAAAAAAAAAAGTAAAAAAAGGGGGGGGGGGTACAGAGATTTGTGACGTTATATTTGAGGGGGGGGGGTCTAACTTTTTGTGACGATTTGTGACGATGGGGGGAGGGGGGCTCAAAAATCGGAAAAATTTGCAGATTTATGGGTGGCCCCTATGAGGAAAAGTATTATTACCACATCATCATCTACATGCTTCAAAATTTGCAAGTTTTTTTTTCTATTATACTCTCTACATAATGATTGATGGTTTTTTTTTTATTACATAAACAAAATTCCGAAGTTTTTATGATCTTATTATTTTTATTAGGCTCGAGGCTAGTGGGTTGTTGGGAAAATGCATTCATTTATATTCTATCAATTATATCTATGTACTTAAATTATTATTTTTTTTAATTAACGAGTGGAATGTGCAGTGGCGTAGCGAGGGTGTTTGGCGCCTGGGGACAAGATTCACGCCCGGGGACAAGATCCATTTTTAGCGCCCCTTTTCTTTTATTTCCACTCTCAAACCCATTATTTCCATCAATAAAATAATATCAAAGCACATTTTGGCGCCCCTAACTAGCTGGCGCCCGGGGACATCTGCCCCCTGCCCCCTGCCCCCTGGGAATGTGTTCATGATTTATGCATCCAATGTTATGTTGTTCAAGTAACCTTTAATTTTTTTAATAAGCATTTGTCAGTGTCTTTTTCAGCTTTTATCGATATAGCTTTTTCATTTTTTTTTCTGACGTCAATTGATGAATCAGGAGGAATAGTTTTGGAACTACATAATTGAAACTTTGCATGCTTATTGATATTGAAATTCTTTACTTAATGATGGATGGTTTTTAAACAAATATCTCAAAGGAAAATTTTTCAGAATTTATTTATTTATATATATATTTTTTATTAGGTTCGTGTGTTAATTTTTTTTCTATCTTTTCTGTCTTAGTTTTCTAATTTTTTAAAAAAAATTCATGAATGGTATATGTACATGGTGTATGCATCCTATATCGTTCATGCAGCCCTCTAATTTAAAAAAACACAATTTTATACTTTTTTTCATTTTTCTCAATTTTTCCATTTTCGGGATTTTTTAGGAACGCCAAATGAATTGGGAGGAAAAGTATTCTAGCTACAGCCTTCAAACATTGCATGCTTCTTTTCATTGATATTCTTTACAAAATTCAAGAGGCTTTTTTTTTACATATACCGGGTATATCCGACTAGGAAAGTTTTATAACATTTTTACATTTGCTACTCCTGAAGAGTTCTCGAATATTTATATGACCCACACATACATGCCATCCACATACATGCCATTTGTAACACTTCCAATAACTGCTGTGTAATAAGCTTCTTTAAACTTTATTTCAATGTTATTCTTAATGTGTATGCCAAGTTTCATTTACAATACTGTACAATAAGTTACAATACAATGCAATACAAATTTGTCTTTATTCATTTTGCGAAAAAGTCAAAATTGGTATTAAATGTTTAATTTTTTGCAATAAAAGTCACAACAAATTAAAAAAAAAAAAACTTTAGTGGATTTTTGTCTTTCTGTTCGTGTATGGTTTGTATGTACTATATTTTTTTTTCAATGGCTCTATTTATTTAGGGTTATCAGTATTTTATTTTCAATGTGGCATGACTTAGTTGCCTTGAAACCAAACTCCCTTCACAGATACATATATTTGCTCCCACTCAATCATTACATCTGTACTTTTAAATGAAGAAATGATACAAACAATAGTTAACTGTACGTGTACCAACAAGGAATGTGAGGAAGTAAAAGGAGACAAATGGCAAAGGAATGATGTGACCTAATTGAATGAGTTTATTGGCTGCCTACTTCTTACTGGCCCGTAATTTATTTTATGGATTACTTGAGTACACAACTCAAATAAATAACTAACAACCAAAAAAAAAAATGTTCTCAAGTCAAAAAGGTTTTGTTTTTCTATTAAATTTTAAATTGGAGTCCTCCAAAAATAAGTCTCTTTCTCATGCTTTATACAATGGCATCCTTTAACTTTAAGATGTTCATTGCAACTACCTTGTGAATTAGGTCAAGTCGTCAAGTCAAATGAGAAAAGTTGTTGAAAGGAGATTCGAGATATCAGGAAAAACAGTCAATGTCCGCATGTATGACTCCCAGTGCCAAGGAAAAAGTTTAAAATTGGTGGTTTTGTTCTGACTAAGCCAAGCTCTCTAGAGGAATAGTTGATTTTAATTCATTATGAATGAAATTTTCATTATTTAGAATACCTAATTAATTCATAAAATACTGTGTGATTAAATCTTTTAACTTAAACAATACACATAAATAATCTTAAATAAAGGATTTAATTTTAATAATTAAATTTATATTATTACTTTTCTAAAATTCAAATGAAAACAATAAATGTATCTAAATCATCTTCATTACTAGATTAAAAAAAAAAATGATCTACGAAAATGGCTTAAACTAAAAAAGAAAATAAGAAAGAAAACAAAATTTACCCGTCCTAAGAAAAATAAACAAAGCAAAAATAAAAAAACAACTAAAGAGAATAAAACTATGAATCTATGAAATAACAAGGAGAAAAAACAATTGAAAAAAATAATTCTCATACTATTATTGTTATCACACCCAGCTCCGAAGTTATTTAATCTGTACGGAGCCACTCCAGGTGCGAATAGTCAATAGTAACAATAAGTACCCATGTACCTATAGATGCAGCCTTTAGTTATAACGAATTTTCTTTACCTTTTCAGAAATATTAAGATTTGAATTTTAAAACAGCAGCAGATTTTGGGATTTAAAGCCTATTGCTTTTGTTCAGCTGTCCGTAAGCTTATAATATATAAATAAAAATGACCTAGAGTCATTAGCATCTCTGTTTCCTATCTGATCTCGGTAATTAGGTGTATCTCCTGTATTTACATTACTGTGGTATCTTGCTGAGTGAGGTGCAACTTTAAATTAATGTTTAATGCCTTATAAAGTTAAATTTGATACTAATAGGATAGTTTCTTTATATTTCACTAGAAATGCCGGTAGCACTTGACCAAAGGCAAGAAGTAACCGAAATCAGCAAAAATGCTTTGCCATTATTGGTAAGTTTTTATGAGTTTTAGTTTTATTAAACGAAGTGGATGCGTACACCGCTGCGGTGTACCTAACGAAACCATCGGCTTTGGCCTGCGTAAACCGCGGCGGTGTACCTACCTAGTGCATAATTTCCTCATCACCACCAGTAACAGAAACATTGCAAATCCCATCTACATGCATAGGAGCCAAAATGATCAATAAATTGATCGTGGGCCCTTAAGATATAGAAGAAGAAGAAGAAGAAATCGTGGGCTCTGGCCTGGTTACACCTCGGCAAAATTGTACCATTGGCTTGGTTTAAAGATATCCCTGCCAGAGAAGCCAGGTAGACATTTTTAGAATTAAGAATCTGATCAGAGCAAAACGCTCACTGAACACGGACTTCACCACTGACATTCCCATAAACAATTACACCAGAAACAATAGCAAATGCTTCAAAGTGCCTCAGTGCAACATAGTGCAGTATCAACAATCTTTCTTCCCACGCACAATAATAGCATGGAACCACCTGAACGATGCCACTGTGAACTCGACATCAGTCGAAAGCTTCAAGGCTGCCCAGGCATCAGCTAGAATAGCTTCATCATACCCCCAATCGTTGCAAAAATGGCAGTACATGGATGCAGCAACGAAACATTACCAGAGGCAGAAGAACTTGTGTGGTCAAGTGGTAGAGTGGACGCCTGGCAGTACTTTTATGTTTTGAGATCAATTCCCAGTAAGGGATCAAGTTTTTTTTTTCCTTCCCATTTTAATTAAAAATATTTTATATTTAAATTATCATGTTCATTTGCAACAGTAGTTTCATGAGAAGTTTTTAAGTAATATGTAGCAATTTAAGTGTTTCAGCAAGTTGTGCCGGCCTTTGACTTTGAAAATACCGGTAATATTAGTAATAAGACATTAGAAAACAAACTGAAAGTGCATGTATAGTGGATATTACATGTATAAGAGAAACATTTTGAATACTAAGTGATCTTTTATTATATTTCAACATTCTTCGTGTAGTTGAATATTTACATTTTACTTTTACAAACACCCAAAGAAAATAACAGTAGTGTATCAAAGCTTATGAAATTAATATGCATGGGCATGGTCGTATTTCAACCATCTTGCTTTCACTATGCATTGGCAAAATGTATACACGACATCAACGGTTCATTCACAACTCTCTGTCTCACAGCAAATCTTTTGAAAACAACACGACTTTAGAAACTTATGACGCGGTAGCAAACTGTATAGTGACTGTATAGCAAAGCCACAGATCTGCGTTTACCCTGTTCATGACGGAATTTGTTTCTAGAATGGCATGGCATGTGCCTCATGTGCTATTCCCAGAGTAAAACATGACGTTTTCTCACACAAACCATTGCACAATGCGTTTGGTAAAGGATTTGCGCTATTTCAAAGTTTTTTGTTTTTTTTGTTAAGAAATCGATCCTTGGTGGGGGTGGAGGTGAGTTATGGGCAGAGGTTTAACCAAAAAGGGGGTCTACACAAATCACGACTTTGGATAGGGGTTGTCCACAAAGGACGTCCGCACGACAAACTTACCTTTTGCACCTCCCCCCCAACACGGAGAGGGGGTAGTGCTGATGTCCGAAGGCATTTTTTTCTAATGTTTTATGCCAATGTAAAACTAATTCAATAATATTTAATTATTGTTAAAAGACTTTTAAAACCACTGCAGTGTTTCGTATTGATCATCATACTGTTGTTTTGTGTTGACAATCGCTTGACATCACAATGACAATGCCTAGGACAACTTTAACTTCACGACTTCATGATCAATGTATGTGAATCTCTTCCCATAATGTATTTGTGGCGTAATTATATCTTGGTGCTAACAAAATATTTCAATATATGGGGGGAAATAAAGTGGTTAACTTGAAAAATAAATAATGGTTTAACATTACGCTCCCAGCCCACAAAGACCATGGTTTTGCTACTTTAAATCGCTGCGGTGTACGCAGGCCACAGACAATGATTTAGCTAGGTACACCGCCACGGTGTACGCAGGCCAAAGTCAATAGTTTCGCTAGGTACACCGCTGCGGTGTACGTAGTGCCGGCCTTTATTAAACTAATTTTTATTTAACTATTACTACGATTATTTACCATTTAACTATTACTTTTACTATTTTTATAATTAATAATGATTAAATTTGGTCCAAATTTCAAAAGAAAAGTGGAAGTCTTACTACAAGGGGTCACTTCTTTTTTAATTATTTATTGATATTATTAAGTAATATATAAATTATAAATATGGCTTATTTTAAAAATTAAGGTAATAGTTAAATAATGATAATTGTATGAGTATGCTTGAAGGGTTACCTGCTTGAAGTTCCCCCCTTACCAGCTCTTTTTCTATTGTGTTTTTGCACTACTTTTTTTCACACTGTCGCCATCTTTTTTGCCATGACAGCATGTGAAAAAAGGTAGTGCCAAAACATGCCTCCTTAAAAATCAACATGATTTTAATTTAATAAAGGGAAAAAAAGGTTACTAATTACAAAAAAAAAAAAAATAAACAAATTATGAATCATGTCAATAAAACCCCACTCATTTCCTAAATTTAGATGGCGTACATCCTCAAGTCAATGTGGTCACTTTGAACAGACCAAGAGGATTTCACATTCCAGTTGTCAAACCTTTAATTTATAGCACCGCCAGTTTTTAACGTGTGTCTTTTGCAAAAAATATTTCTTTTCTAAATCTAGTGAAAAACCGTAGAAAAGCCAGTACGGCCTTACAACTGGGCAAGCATTTAAAAACCATACAAAGTATAGGTAAACTATACAGGTTGACATGTATGTATAAAATTTCTACATTATTGCCATTCATAACAAAAAATTGCTACAATGCTGCATATATATATATATGAAAAATCAAACATATGGAATGAAGTTTAAAAACACAATGAAAATATATTTTTTCTTTTATTTTTCAGCACCCAAGTCGCATTGAAAAGATGGTGTTTGTCAGCTACACGCCACCCCCTTTTAACTGTGAAGACCGAGCTGATTATGATGCCTGGATTGAGCGTGTAAATTACTTGTGTGATGATTTACATTGGTTGCTCCAACTCCCACATGATAAATTCTGGTGCCAGGTGTGTGAGCTGAGTTGATTTAAGATAACTGAAGTATGAAATAAAAGCTCTAGTTAAATAGCTATCCTGGGTAACTAAGTACATACCTGGATCCTTGCTAAGTCATGGTGGGTTCCTAGCACATAGGATATTGTAAGCATTAATTGCATACAATTAGAAGAGCCCAGTTAATAATTTAGCAAATACCTTTTACATTATGCAATAAATAATTCTATCAATCAGCAACTTTTTTTTAAAGGTTGTGTTCTTGTTGAAGTTATGAGCTTTAAACAAGATTCCAGGGCATGATCTGACTATCCAATTTGAGGAATTATAGCTCAATGTTGTTGACTTCTTGTTCCCTCTTATTATTTTGTTCTCTGAGCTTAAAATTTTAAAATTTACTCTGAAGGTTCTTTCACCTTTAAAACATCACTTTTTTTTATTAGCAAGTTTATGTTAGCTCTTGAAAGGCATCTGGAGATTAAACTTTATATGTGCCCTTTAAAAAAAAAATGTTGTCTTTCTTTTCATCACCTGCTTAAACTAGCTTTGAAGCTCGAGCACTGGCTTAATGCCTGATAGAATGAACATTGCTCAAAAATGCCTGCAACAAACACCTATAAGTAGAATGTATGTCTTAAAAATCTGGCTACAGTAAAATATTCTTGCCCTCCTCCGTCCCTCCCTTTCTATTTAATCACTTTTTATTTTAGGTGTTTCAATGCAAAGAAAGTTATTATTCTCAAAATCTCATTGATTATGTTTATAATTTCAAGTTTTCTCAATTATTACGTGTTAACTGAACATATAAGTAAAGAGCTTATTGCTTCTGTTTTGTGTTTTTGTTTCCAGGCTGTTTTTGATGAGAGTCTTCACAAGGCTTTGGATTCTTTCCTTCAGTTTGGTCCTAGGTAAAACACATAGAGTCTCGACAGCATAGACAAAATTTGTAGCTTTTCTGCTGATTAAAATGCAGATTATAGGAGTCAGAATAATCAGTACATTCATCGTGGGGCATCAAAACATAGAAGAAAAAGAAAACACAGGAGTGCATTTTATACCTACACACATCCTAGAAAAATAAGCTTTGCTTTAAATAAAAAAATGGGATCTTCCCAAAAATTAATCATATAGTTCAGGGGTTCTTAACCTGTGGTCCATGGGCCACTTGGGAGTTTGTGAAAAGGTTGAGAGGCTCCATGAGCTGAATTTCCTTTGTAATCTTTCTTATGCGTTGAAGGTGTCCATGGCCCTAAACTGAATGGAAAATTGGTCAGTGGATCCAACAAGGTTTAGAATCTCTGATGGCGTTTAACTGGTGCTGGGAGATCATTATTTAAATACAATAGTGCATTGTGATGAAAAATAAATAAACCACAGAATAAAGGGCAAAGGGTGTCTACCATTTCTATTGAATCTGTACGTTTTTATTGATGTGAGTAAATATAAACTGTCATAGCATCATGATGTGAATATTGATACAGGCTTCACTGGATAAAACAAGGCTTTATACGGCTGAGAATAAGAATAAGTGCATTAGTTCTGTCAACTACTGTGGCAGTGCTACTGTTGAGCACTAGACAGTAAATTATGTGTTTGGGAACTTTGGGAAAGTTTTACCAGAAAACAAACTCTATCTAGGCAGCCCCTCAAGATTATGAGGTCAGAAAAAAAAGTAAGTCAATTTAAATCATGATCATCTGTAAAGAAAACTTGTTGTAAATGGGTCATGATGGTGATTTGTGTAAAGATTTGATGAGATAAATGATTAGTTTTTGAGGAGATTTCATCTGACCAACAGGTCACACGATGGCCCCTTGAATCTACCAGAGGGAGGCAGGCAGAGGCAACATGAACTTTGTCGCCTTGTCTTCATGACTTACCTGCGTATGTCTACTCACAAGGAATCAAAAGTAAACTTATTTGGCTATTGATCTAGCCATTTTAATATAGGCTGCAAGACATTGTTTTAGTTGTGTAATTTATGTAAATTTTAATTTTTTAACCATTTTGGCAAATATATATATATTTATGGCAGGGCAATGCGTGAACATCCTATCTACTAAAGTTAATTGATAAACCATGCATTCAAGGTAACTTTCTAAGAATCCCAAATTAGTGCCAACTTCTGGGATTTTATTTTGTGTGCATATTGAACACAGTTTTACAGCCATACATATCTAGAGAATTATTATATTTACATGTGATATATTAGTTTGGTATCAAATTCAACTACTTTTATTTCTGGTTATTTTACAGAGCCAAAATTTGTTACCTTAATGGAAAAACAATTCCCCCAATTTTGCTCTTCACAGAAAATGTTGCTACTTTTAAATAAACATTTTTTTCGGTTCCATTTTATGGCTGTTGCATTGATTCCAGGAGAACTTTATCACACCAGAAGTCTTTGGGGAAATCCTCTACAATAATTTCTTGTTTGACATCCCCAAAATCCTGGACCTCTGCTCCCTGTTTGGAAAGAGCAACGGCCCCCTGTTGAACAAGATGATCGGAAATGTCTTCTCCCAGCAGCCCAAGTACATGGACGACCTGCACGAAACGGTCCCCACGATTTTACAGGCAAGCTTTCTTTGTTTATTATTGACGAGGAGAGCCCATGTTGCACACATGTGTTTAATCAGTGGGAAGAATGTGATCATCATCGGAAACATTTTGGCAATCCTTTATTTAAAGAACAATTTTTTTTTTTTGTTGTTTTTTGTTTGTTAATAATCTTTTTTTTTTAGTAAAGTTGTTGTTCTGAAAATGTTTTGAAGTAGACTTTGGGATCAACTTGCTTTTATAGAATTTATGATCAATTTTTCAAATAATGATTATGACCTTTGTCTTAAATCCTTAGCTCCTAAGTATATTAGAATAAATTAGATAAATTCTGACTGCAGTTTTCATTATTACCGTTCTCATCTGTTGCTTTTAAAGTGTGGTAACTAGACAGAGCAAATGGAAGAAAACAACTGCCTAGCCCGCCAAAATATCTGACTTGCCTGAATGTGTATCTAGCATGATAATATATTCTGCTTCACTACAGAACACAGCAATAGATCATCAGCTTCTTGTCTTAAACACCAAACCAAACTTTGAATGTGCACTTTAAAGGATTTTAAAAAAAAAAATGTAATTTCACAGTCAGTCAAATTTTAAAGATTTTACTTTCAACTTGTCAGGTCCTTGGCAACATTGCTGCTGAGTGCGGCATTCACCTCGAAGGCACAGGCCAAACCCCTCAGAAGCTTGACCTGCGTTCTAGCGGGTGCACTCTCTCTGCATTGTCCATCGATCAGCTACAGGATGTCCTACTTTATATAAGTGATACGGCCATAACTTTGAATACTTTTCTGGACATCTATACACCGGCGTGCCACGTGTTCCACAAGTTTCATATTTGTTCTGTGTAAGTTGTATGGCTATAGAGGACTTTTAAGAAAACCATTTTTTTTTCTTTCAACATTTGTAAGGATAACATTTGTATGTTAAAAATTTTTTTTTTTTGAATTAATACTTTTTTTGGATAAAAAGATATGATTTTAATAATGAAAAGTTTCTATATCTCATGAAGTTTGGAAATTATTATTTCAAAACAACAAATGACTCATATTTTTATTGATGATTGTATTAGCTGCCGCTCTTTATAATGATAAACATTTTTGGAATTATTATTTTTTTTTGCTTTGGTAAAATTATAGCCATTTTTGAAGCATTTCCAGTGAGGTCGCTTAAAAAAAAATATTTTCAAATGGAGCGGAACTCGTTTTGTTTTGCTTCAAGCTGCTTTTTGATTTAAATAGACCTTCAGTGATTTATCTACTGCTATTTTTGGACAGGATTGCTAACTTTTATGACAGTATGATTCCAGAGCTGTACAATGCAGTTAAGCAGCAAGAATTTTATTCCGAAGTGTAAGTGCATGAAGTCTTCTTCATACATCATTTAAATCAGCATTATTTAGTTGTAAAACCATGTTTGAAAGAATGCAGTTGGGAGGGGAAATTTATTGTTCGATTCTAATTTGGCTTGGAATATTTAATAAATGAATACTTTCATACTAGTAAGCGTATTTGGTAACCTTGGAAGTCATTCCTTTTCATTACATATTTTGTATGCACTTCACAGTTAAGTTATTCATAATTAATAATAAATTATTATTTTAGATGTATAAGAATAAAGTGTTACAGGTTTTTAAAGTCATCTTTACTATAGAATAGTGTACATTTCTGCAATCATCTGAACCAAGGGTAATTGAATGAAAAAAAATGTGTTTTTATTTAACAAAATAAGTCATGTTATTAATATATCATGATCAGTAAATTTTCTTTTCAAATTAAAGAAAATTATCAGTCAGATAACTATGACATAGTACTGGACTGTGATCACAGGAAACTGGTCAGATAACTATGACATAGTACTGGACTGTGTTCACAGGGAACTGGTCAGATAACTATGACATAGTACTGGACTGTGATCACAGGGAACTCATCAGATAACTATGACATAGTACTGGACTGTGATCACAGGGAACTGTTCAGATAACTATGACATAGTACTGGACTGTGATCACAGGGAACTGTTCAGGGAACTATGACATAGTACGGGACTGTGATCACAGGGAACTGGTCAGATAACTATGACATAGTACTGGACTGTGATCACAGGGAACTGGTCAGATAACTATGACATAGTACTGGACTGTGATCACAGGGAACTGGTCAGATAACAATAAAGTTTTCCTTCACTTCCAGCCAGAAGAAACAGTTTCTAGGAAAAGCTCGCCAGATAAGTAAGTGTCTGGTCAGCATCTTCAGATGTATCCTCCAGCACGTCTGTCTGCAGCCGATTCTGGACAATGCCAGGTGAGCTGATTGTTGCCTTGAGCTACTATCAACGTTTTACCAGGTGTAATGGGGGGAGAGATGCCTCTGAACTTACCAGTTTGAGTGTTTGATTCCTGATTCAATTCCTCCACACGTTTTTTTTTTCTATCTCCTTTTAGTTTGTTTTGTTTTAAGTTAATGTAACTACCGGTACTTAAAAACTAATCAAATACATTGATATAATGCCTTCAGTTTTATTGGTCATATCCGGTTTTTGCATAGGAGGCAATTATTTATAGAAATATTTAACAAGGCCGTAGACTGTCTAGTGCCGGGTGGCCACCCCAAAATACTTTGCTGGCCAATTTAATAGCAAGCTAAACTTCCATGAGACGCATGTAATATTGTAATAACAACTGATAATAAAATAAGCGCCTACTAAAGGCTATATTGAATTATTTATCTATTCTTAATGCACGTAATGAAATGCCGACTTACGAAACAAGAGCTAAAGTGATACCTGTTTTTTACTTTTTATTTCACTTATCTTTTTAAAAATCCATTTCATTGTCAATTGAATGAAGAATGAAAATGTTCATTTGTAATACGTATATGAAGACCTCAAGGGAAAAAACGGCAGAGTCCATTTTTATTTTTTTTGAGTTATCACCCCTGACTTATAGCCGGTTAAAAATAGAAGGTGCTGAATAAAGTTTAAAGGAGAAAAAATGGCTAAGTCCATAAGAAAAATGGAAACGAAAAATCCGTTTACAATGGAAAAAGAAGCATAGTCCAATGTTTACAATGGAAAAGGGGGCTAAGTCACTAATATCACGTGACATTTGAAGTCACGTGATTTAAAGGTCCAATGAGAGATAGCTATAGTGTAAACAAAATTTAAAGATGGCGACCGATTCGCTCAGCTGACCGACAAACCGACGAAAAAGTTAACTGACAGACCTGAATTTTTTAAATTTCCTACCACAAGAAAACAAAACAAATTAACATAAGCACGATAAATTGGACTTAAAACATTAAAAAAAAAAAAAATTTGTATTTTTAAATCGCATTTTACCTTGTTTTGTTATGTTCAGTTAATTAATGTGTGTATCCGTCTCGTCTCTTTCGCTGTCGCTCTAGTCAAGTCTAGTCTATCACTGTTTGTTGCATGTCTGTGTCTCTCCATGTCAGTCTATCTCAGTTAGTTTGTATATCTCTCTCCCTTTCGCTCTAACTCTGTGTCTGACTCCCCCTGAACTCTTTATCTTCGAGTGTCTGTCTTGCTATCTCGGTCTGTTACTCTTTACTGACTTTACCCTTAAACTTAAGTTCATACAGTTACATCTACTGCTAGAGGAAAAAAAACTAATATTGGGCCAAAATTGTAAGAAGCACAACAGAAACTCAGAAAGTATGATTTTAAATCTGATTTTCACGTTAAATTCTAAATAATATTTTTTTTTTTAATGATAGTTATAGGCATGATAGATATTTTTATATTTATAGTGTAAACAAAAATAATTTGCCTAAGGCAGGGGTCATTCGTAAATTACATCACGTTAAAAATAAACTTTTTAGACACCCCTTCCCCTTGTCACGAAATGTCACAAATTCTCCCCCCCCCATTGTCACATCACCTAAAAAAATTCAAAAAATACATAAAATTTTCATAACTAAACTAAGATATTATTGTATTCTTAAACATTTTCCCATAATGCAGCAGTTCTGAACCTGTGGGTGGCGACCCCTTTATGGGTCGAATGACTCCTTTAAAGGTGTCACATAAGACAATCGGCAAATGCATATCCTCTACAGTTATGAAGTACTAACAAAAATAGTTTTATGGTTGAGGGTCGCCACAACATGAGGAACTGCATTCAAGGGTCGCGGCATTAAGAAGGTTGAAAACCACTGCCATAATGATAAGATGCAGTATTACTAGAAAACCGAGTTTCATGGTACCATACTATAATACCTGAGGCAAAGTTGACCTCAAATTAATGTTTTAAAAAAGAATTAAATTATGATTTTTTTTAAAGAATAATAAACTTTTAGAGATGAAAAAAAAGTGACGTCACAATTTTTGACCCCCCCCCCTTTCCCCCCTCCCAAAAAGTGTCACATATTCTCAACCCAACCCCTCTAAGCGTGACGTAATTTGCCAGAGATCCCTAAATGTGAAAATGTAATTATAAAATAGTTTTAAATAGATATTTATCAATGATCAAACCTTGATAAATTACTACAAGGGAAAAAACGGCAGAGTCCATTTTGACCCCACTCTCTACTATAATGAAAAAAATCACGTTACATTCAAGTTTGAATTAATTTATCTATTTAATAACTCAGGGAAATGGACACACTTGTGAAAGGCATTTTAAAAATTACATTTTGTTTACACATTTTTAATGTGCATGGTTTTGAACTTTAAAAATCGAATATCTCAAAACAACAAAAATGTGACTCTGCCGTTTTTTCCCTTGTGGTCTTCATATATGGAGTATACATTGGTATATAGGGAGTATGCGGGCCACAATATTTGTTGTGGCAGGCCACATGTGGGTTGTCTGCCCCTGATTTAGTGTGAGATTTTGTTTTGGTTCGTATTCCACAAACTAAGTCTATAAACATTTAAAAGTATTACCATTTTCTCTTTAATTTGCCATTCCTACTAAAAATCCACACACATTGAACACACTATTAGGTTCAAAATGTTAACAGCTACTAAATTTCCTTATCATCTACTTTATTCTTTCACTAATGAATCTTTCAGGGGCATAGTTAAAACATTATAAGAATAATTCTTTCTTATTTTGACTCTGTCAGCAATGAGGAAACTGTGTCCAGCTGCATTGAGGACCTGCTGCACACCATGACGTCTCTGTTAAATGAGAGGAAATTTCTGGCAGCCTATGAGGGGATGTTTAACTTTCAAGACGATGTTGATTTATTGCTGCAGACCTCAAGCTCTATGTATCCTTTGTTTGTTTGTTTTTAGTTAGGAGCTATCTAATATACAGCATTCTAATATCACACCATTGTTTGACGGTCTATGTCACAATTGTCTGATAGTCTCTCATGATGTGATATTGTATAATATGTGATATTGTATGATATGATGTGATATTGTGTGATGTGATATTGTGTGATATGATGTGAAATATGATATGATATTGTATGATATCTTGTGCTATTTTCTGATATTATGTGCTATTGTCTGATATGACATGCTTTCATCCTCAGATCTTCTGTGCCCTTGAGTTTGTTGTTTTTTCAGTCCTACTATTAATGAAAAAATATAAACATGTTTGCTGGTAATTTTCTTGTTCTTTTTCTTCCCCCCCCCCCCCCCCCCCTTTTTTTTTTCTCCTTTTTCAAATCACTCCCAACCCATTTCTGAATCTTCTAGTTTGGTTACCATTTTTTGAATAACAATTCAATAAAGTTGCCACAATTCTTTGACCCCCAAATTTCACTGCAATTTTTCCGTGACTGTTGACCCCAGAGACCCCTCTCAGCTAGAGTACATTCAGGCAGCCATCAACTCAGCCTTCGCCACATTTGGACGCCGCAAGTCACCGCGGGGGAACACCAACACGGGGGGCAGGACCAGTCCGGACGGCGCCCCAGATTCTCTGAGCAGTGGGGCCACAGCAGCAGCCCCTGGGGGCAATGACAGAGACGTTGCCACAGGAAGCAGTCAAACAGGGGCAGGAATTGGGGAACAGGAGGATTTTCAAACCGAAGATTATGTGAGTGTTTCCCCCTTGTTTTCTATTGTTAATGTGTTTGAGTTTGAGAAGAATATAAATATAATAATAAACTTACTGCAAGTTAAAAGATGTTTTCTATGTTATCTTAGATGATTTTTAAAGAAATTTTTGTGCATGTTAAGTTCCAAAAGGAACATGATATGCCACTAATATAACCCATAATTATTTATTTCTGAATTCCATTTGGTGTTTTAATAACAAGTAAATGTTTCACCCCCCCCCCCCCATCTGGATTAGGGAGAAGGTGCCATTTCTTGTCCACGTCCAGGGGATGCTGAGCTGGACTCATTGATTACCAGCGTCAAAGATTTGTTTCCACATTTAGGGGAGGGGTTCATAGAGGTACGGTAAAATTTAATTCCTTGTTCAAATCTAAATGTCGCTCGCCTTTCAAACTCTCCCTCCTCCCTGCACCACAGTTTCAGAACACACAAAAAGAAAACAATTATTTTTGTACAACTTCTCCTGATCTGTGATCTAATCTCAACACAATTTGAAAGTAGTCGGACAATGAATACAACTAAAGCTGATATATTCTGTGACGGCCTCCCTTGTTCGCAGCTGGCCTTGGAAGAGTTAGACTGGAACCACGAGAAGGTCGTGTCGTCAATCCTTGAGGAAAAGCTGCCGACATCACTGCAGGAACTGAGTTTTGATTTACCAAGGTCAGTGGCTCTTACATTTTTCTTTGCTGTGGTAACTCAATATATTAAGGTTTAGCATTTCTGCAGACAGTCTAAGTGAAAATTAAATTCATTCTTCAAATTTTCCCAAACCTTTTCTGAACATTGTCTCTTTGACTAATAATACGTTAATTGTTTATACGACGGATAATTTGTTTATTGAATTTAAAACGGAACTTTACAACTTAGAAAAATAAACGTATGACTTATCACATAAATTAATTAATGAAGAAATTTAGACAAGACAAAAAATATACAAACATTGAAAGCATAGCTCAAAGTTCTTACATCAACTTTTCCTCTTCCCTCCGGGGGGCCCTGCTTAAGGCAAATGTAAGATGTGGTCATGGCAGGATTAGCCTATAACTAAAAAGAAGAAGATAAAGGCTTAGGTGCACAACAAAGATAATTTTCCAGAACTAAGTACACATGATACAAAGAACTAAGTACACATGATACAAAGAACTAAGTACACATGATACAAAGAACTAAGTACACATGATACAAAGAACTAAGTACATATGACACATGATACAACTTTGATTAGCATTCATTCCGAAATTTAAAAAAAAATATTTTCTCCTCCGCAGTTAAATAGTTTTTTGATTAACAATTAGATGCATAAGAGTTCACATTTCAAAGTTTTCTGGTAACTTCTAGTGTAATTGCTTTCAAGGGACCTTAAATATATGGCATTCCAAGTGGTGTCTCATTGTCTTTTTCTTCTTGCATCAAGTTTAAATTGTTTCAGATCTTTGCAATTAGAGAGTTCATGTCTAATCATGAATTATTCCACGTTTAATCATGATATATTTCATGTCTAATCATGAGTTATTTCATGTCTAGTCATGATTTATTGTGGATGATATAAGAAGGTTGCTGTAGTGAATATATAATAATTTTGTAAGTTTTTTCCCCCTCATGTGTACAGACAAGTAAGGGAGACAAACCAAGGTGACGGTCAGACTGACAAAGAGGATGTCCTGGAGTCACGGAGAAATGTCTTTGACAACGATGAATTTGATCTCTTCCGAAACAAGAAGGTGGACATGTCGAAAATACATTTAGGAAAAAAGTCAGTTCATTCATTTTATTGGTTTCCTTCAATTTACCCATCAGTTGCTTTTACCCATCAGTTGCTTTTACCCAACAGTTGCTTTTACCCAACAGTTGCTTTTACCCAACAGTTGCTTTTACCCAACAGTTGCTTTTACCCAACAGTTGCTTTTACCCATCAGTTGTTTTTACCCAACAGTTGCTTTTACCCAACAGTTGCTTTTACCCAACAGTTGCTTTTACCCAACAGTTGCTTTTACCCAACAGTTGCTTTTACCCATCAGTTGCTTTTACCCATCAGTTGCTTTTACCCATCAGTTGCTTTTACCCATCAGTTGCTTTTACCCAACAGTTGCTTTTACCCAACAGTTGTTTTTACCCATCAGTTGCTTTTACCCATCAGTTGCTTTTACCCAACAGTTGTTTTTACCCATCAGTTGCTTTTACCCATCAGTTGTTTTTACCCAACAGTTGCTTTTACCCAACAGTTGCTTTTACCCAACAGTTGTTTTTACCCATCAGTTGCTTTTACCCATCAGTTGTTTTTACCCAACAGTTGCTTTTACCCAACAGTTGCTTTTACCCAACAGTTGCTTTTACCCAACAGTTGTTTTTACCCATCAGTTGCTTTTACCCAACAGTTGCTTTTACCCATCAGTTGCTTTTACCCATCAGTTGTTTTTACCCAACAGTTGCTTTTACCCAACAGTTGCTTTTACCCAACAGTTGCTTTTACCCAACAGTTGCTTTTACCCAACAGTTGTTTTTACCCAACAGTTGCTTTTACCCAACAGTTGCTTTTACCCAACAGTTGCTTTTACCCATCAGTTGCTTTTACCCATCAGTTGTTTTTACCCATCAGTTGCTTTTACCCATCAGTTGTTTTTACCCAACAGTTGCTTTTACCCAACAGTTGCTTTTACCCAACAGTTGCTTTTACCCATCAGTTGCTTTTACCCAACAGTTGCTTTTACCCATCAGTTGCTTTTACCCATCAGTTGCTTTTACCCATCAGTTGCTTTTACCCATCAGTTGCTTTTACCCATCAGTTGCTTTTACCCATCAGTTGCTTTTACCCATCAGTTGCTTTTACAGGTCTGACAATATGAATGAATCTTCAGATGCCAAAATCTCTCTAGTCCTCCCGATGTCAACATTCTTCTCAGTCCCACCCACCGCAAGCGCCCAATTCCGTTCCATTAATTATTTCTTGTCCTTTGATGCAGTTAGGATGGGAGTTTGCTTTAGAGATAATGGTATCGTCTAATTAAAAATTCCTTTAAAACCCCCCAAATTTTAAGGTCATAATATTGACTACTTAACTTGATGTTTAGTCTTCCCCTTTTGTTAAGTGATAGTTTGGAACGTTTGCCCCCACAGGGAGGAGAAAGTTGACCTCGAGGACAAGAGCATCATAAAAGCTGTGCAGGCCACATACGAGGCCTATGGCAGCGTGGACCAGGAGAGCATTTACGAGAACCCTCAGATGTACGAGGATGAATATGATGACACGTACGACACAAATGCTGTCGGCGCAGATGATGCGGATTCAGCGGATGAGTTGACCAACAGAAAGTAAGCACAGCATTTTATAAAATGAACATTACCAGACCTATTTACTCTTACGATTTTGGCGGGCAGCATACGATTTTGAGATGTCTTTTACGATTATTCACCGAGACCTGTCAGAGATAAAATCGTATCTCTGACAGGTCTCGGTGAATAATCGTAAAAGACATCTCAAAATCGTGAGATGTCTTTTACGATTGTTCACCGAGACCTGTCAGAGATATGATTTTGCGAGACCAGGTTAAAAATATAAAGTCTGGTGGTTTTTACAATAAAAAAGAAAATACATAAATAAACTTTCTCAATTTTTGCACACCCACCACATCTTTGTCTATCTATGTGGGAAATGACTGGAACCCCTTTAAAAGTTAGTCGTCCACTTTGAGAAGTGACCTTGATTAGACATGTGATGCGTGCATTCAATTATTTTGTGCATCATGCTTAAAGTTTATTTATTTACCGTTACATTACAGCGTCGTACAATTTTTGAAAATTAAAGTACTGTTCTGAGACGATGTTGTACTATTTTTTTATATCCTGTGTAACCAGGTCTGCATTTTGTTTATAAGTGAACTTTAAAAATAAAAATTTATGGTTGCCCTGCATTTATTAAGGCAAGCTGTAGCTTCACTTGTCCAATGTCTGTTATTACCAGCACCATCTTGTCCAATGTTTTGTACCCCCCACTGTCCAATGATGGGCTGTGCATTTTTTCTCCCCCAGGTTCATGCCACGTGTGCTGTTGGACATAGAGAGGAAGAAAGCTAGAGATGAAGGACGGGACCAAGAGAGTGGCGATGATGGTGACGATGGTGGTGGTGATGGCAACAATGGAGATCAGGTAAATGTCTGCCCCCCCCCCCCCCCCCCCCCGTGTGCTGGAAACTTATAGTAAAACAAAATCATACAGTAACACATTTTTAAAAAGCGTAACGTTGTCGTGTAAACTTTATCCCTGTACATTTTTAACTTTATCCTAGCTTTTTGTTTACTTTATCCCAGTACGTTGTTAACTTCATCCTTGTGTGTTGTTAACATTATCCTAGTATAATGTTAAAATTTATCCTTGTATATTGTTAACTTTATCCTAGTTTATTGTTAGCATTATCCTAGTACATCATTAAACTTTATCCTTGTATATTATTAACTTTATCAACTAGTATATTGTTCTTTCTTTACTAGTACATTGTTAACTTTATCATAGTAATTCATTTTGGTAAATATTCAGAAAAATAATTTTTACCATTGTACTTGATATTCTTGTACATGTTCCTTGTACATGTTATTCATGTACATGTTCCTTGTACATGTTATTCATGTACATGTTAGTCTTGTACATGTTTATTTGTACATGGTATTATTTTACATGTTAATCTTGTACATGTTATTTTTGTACGTGTCTTCCCTCATGTTCCATATTCGGTCTGATTCATTAGCCACCCAGGGACCAGTTTGTTGAGGATCCAGCCAAACTTCGAGAGATGGCAGAGCAGAGACGTCAGTCCCATGCCGCAAGGAGGGGTAGGGGAGGAGGAGCAGCACCCCCAAGGACCAGAGATGTAGTTGGCGGTGCCAAAGGTCAATGTGCTTTCATAATGGGCCCTGTGATTGTTTTAAAACCTTTGCCCAACTAGTAAATATAGCAATAAGAAAATCAGACCTGGGAATGGTTAGTGGGAGATGGGGGGGGGGGGGGGGGGGGGGGGGGGGTGGGTGGGGGGGGGAGGTACAGGACCTTGACATAAAACAGCCTGACATAAAAGCATGCAGTGGTACTGATTCAAGGTCATCCTGCTGACCCCCACACACTCCCCCAAACCTTGCCCTTTGGTGGGCCATCTTACCAGAAACTGCTTAGCAACCCAGCCCCTTCTCCTCACCGGCCTGCCAGGTTGGCAAGTACTATGATCCAGTTGTTGCTTGTTTCGGGTTGCCCATCTACTTTTTGGCCAGATTTATGACACATTTCTTTTGTAGTGTTTGTTCACTTGACTTACTACACACAACTGGAACAAAATATGTAAGACAAAGTGTAATGAAACCTGTCAAAAGTGTGCAAAACAAAAAGTGTGTTTTGTTGGTTGTTTTTAAAAAAAAAAGTTTTCCCAATACTTTTTTTTACAAATTATTATTTCCTTCCACCTAACGTGATTGCGGTCTCCCCTTTAGTATCATACACAACTGGGATGAAATATTTATCTAAAGTAACAATTATATATATTTTTCTCTTCTAGGTCAAGGCCAGTCTGCTGAAGTTCTTCGCAATCGTAAAATGAAAGAAAAGCACAAAGGTCAGAGAAATAAGGCCAACGCCGAGAAGAAGCTGAGTAAAGGAATGTTCTAATGCACCTGTGGCGTTTGGCCAGTTGGTCAGACATAGTTCAGGGGTCATAAGTTGCTATTTATTGTCAATGTATTTTGTGCCTGTGATTAAATGAAGTATGTATGTAAGACTTGTGGTGTTCTGTTCTATCTTAATAAGTAATGACAGGTTGATGTTGGCAGGCTGTCGTGTGACCTGCAATCATTGTGACTTGGTGGGTTGGGTGTGACTTGTTCCGGTTGGTGGGCTGGTTGTGCTTTGCTTGGACTGGTTGTAACATGTTCAGGCTGGTGTGCCGGTTGTGCTTTGCTTGGGCTGGTTGTAACATGTTCAGGTTGGTGGGCTGGTTGTGCTTTGCTTGGGCTGGTTGTAACATGTTCCGGTAGGTCACCTGGTTGTGCTTTGCTTGGGCTGGTTGTAACTTGTTCAGGTTGATGGGCTGCATGTGACCACATGTTTATTTTGATGGCATGTGGCAACACAACTATGTTTGTGGATTGAAAACAAAAAGGTTTAAACGATAAAAGGATAAATGTTCCCTCCATGGCCCTAAACCTTTCATATGCTATGTGCCTGGCCATCACAGTAAGTGTTCAGGGTGCCACATAGAGTCAAGTAGAAGACATTTTGGATCGTTTCAAACAAGCATTACATTAATTCAATCCAATTTGAGACTGAACACTTCAAAGTTTTCAATTTCTTTTATTTTGTGCGAGTTCCCTGATAAAAAAAAATTTCTTGTAATTTAGGCTGAATATGTGAAAACCCCATTTCTTGGGTTAACATTGTCATTTATTTATGTTTTCTTGCATTTAATATGCCATGTTGAATCTCGGTTTTAATTTCAATATTAAAGTAGTCCGGTCTATTTTCAACATTTAAATCCAATTTTTTTTTCTTCTTCATATTCCCAACATATTTAGATCAATACAATCACACAAAAGTGGCGGATGAATACACTGATAGTACAAAACAACAACACCATCATGTTACCTTATATAGGATTACATTAATACATATCTGTTTATTTACATGTAACATAATTAGATAATTTAGAGTTATAATTCAAATCTTCCACATTAATTGTATTATCTTCACATCACTTATTCCCCCCCCAACACACAAACATATACACATTTTTTTTTCTTAAAAAGGGTTTCGGTATATTTTAAGAGTGGGTTTGGCTACCCCAAATGTGTTAAGAGTGGGTTTGGCTACCCCAAGAGTGTTAAGAGTGGGTTTGGCTACCCCAAGAGTGTTAAGAATGGGTTTGGCTACCCCAAGAGTGTTAAGAGTGGGTTTGGCTACCCAAAGAGTGTTAAGGGTGGGTTTGGCTACCCCAAGAGTGTTGAGAATGGGTTTGGCTACCCCAAGAGTGTTGAGAATGGGTTTGGCTACCAAAGAGTGTTAAGAGTGGGTTTGGCTACCCCAAGAGTGTTAAGAGTGGGTTTGGCTACCCAAAGAGTGTTAAGAGTGGATTTGGCTATCTCAAGAGTGTTAAGAGTGGGTTTGGCTACCTCAAGAGTGGGTTTGGCTACCCAAGAGTGGGTTTGGCTACCCCGAGAGAGTGCGTCATTGGAAACAGACTATTGAATTTATACATTGTTAATACTTGATTCGTTTAGACACTAATTCCTCAAGCTTAATTCTGATGTGTCAACTGAGTTCATTCATGACCATCTTTGCCCTGGATTATTTCTTTCCGTTTGTAACAAAGATCTCTTTCCTCGTGTCTTTTTTAAAAAAATGGATTAACATGTTTTCATTTCTATTTCCAAAGTTCTAATAGTTTATTCTTTTAAAAATATTTTTGATTAGTCTGAGAGAGTGAGTCAATAGTTTGTTGTAGTTTTTTCCGTTTAAAAAAAAAAAATGATTATCCATTGTGATTTGATTGTCAAAAACTTATCTCCCCCCCCCCAACCCGACCCTCCGGGCCATAGATCAAGATCGTAGTTTGAGACACGCGAGACATTTACTTTAGGATTGCCGCGGACAAAAGAGACACAACTATAAATAGCACAGTTCCAGGAGCCGCACCGCGCGCACCGTTTCTGACGCTGCTCTTCGTTGTCGTCACCGTGGTGGTCGTTGGTGCGCACTGGTCTGGACAAGGGCTGCCGTAGCCCGACACGCCGGTGCAGGCCTTGTCCCTGTTGCTGATGTTGGACTCGTAGAGCTTCTGAAAGACGGGATGAATTATTGAGTTGGAATTGATGAATATGTGGTTATTACTCGGGCGATCAGTATACATATGGTGGAGCGTTATAAATATGGTGGATCGTTATACATATGGTGGATCGTTATAAATATGGTGGATCGTTATAAATATGGTGGATCGTTATACATATGGTGGATCGTTATATATATGGTGGATCGTTATAAATATGGTGGATCGTTATAAATATGGTGGATCGTTATAAATATGGTGGATCGTTATAAATATGGAAGAGAGAGAGAGGGGGGGGGGTTGATGGTTACAAACATGGGGCGACACCTCAGGACACGCCTCCTTTTAACATCCTTACCAATGAATTGTTCCATGGCGGGTTAAAGTTATTTAAAGGAGGAAAAATGTAGTTTCATTGAGCAACGATGCTTAGATGTGCAAGAGCTTCACCGTGCAATCCAACGGAGCTTTGATGTCTGGGTACTCACCATTCTACTGTAGGCATCCGGTCGGCTTGTGAACCAATTGACCCCGCTCAGCGTCAGGTTGTGATCCTGGACGAGCTGGTAAACATTCAAATTACACGGGCTGTGGATGGTCAAAGGGTTAACGGAAGCATTCAAATTCACGGGCTATTGGTGGTCAAAGGGTTAATGGAAACATTCAAACTCACGGGCTATTGGGGGGGTCAACGGGTTAATGGAAACATTCAAATACACGGGCTATTGAGAGTCAAAGGGTTAATGGAAACTTTTCATGTGCAGTTACACGGGCTGTGGGTGGTGAAAGGGTTAATGGAAACATTCATATTACACGGGTGTGGGTGGTCAAAGCGTTCATGGAAACATTCATATGTGGGTGGTCAAAGGGTTAATGGATACATTCATATTACACGGGCTGTGGGTGGTCAAAGGGTTAATGGAACCATTCACATTACACGGGCTGTGGGTGGTCAAAGGGTTAATGGAAACACCTCTGATGTCATACAATCTGTATTTGGACTAAGACAGTTAGCGGCATACGATGGCGATGTCCAAGACGATGTAAATACCGTGGATGTCTAGCACTACTGTTGAGATCGAATTGGGCTCAGAGCACCAAGTGTTGACCAATTTGATGTTTTACATCTAGATGTAGATGTTTTTGTCGGTAGGAAAATGTTGTTGTTTATATGGTTTGTGAAAAAAAAAGGGGGGGGGGCTGAGGATGCCTGAGCCTATTGGAAAATGGGTGACACACTATTCATACACTATTTACATACTATTTGCATACCATTCACACACTATTCACATATTACTTATGAGAATGTAGAGCAATAAAATATATGTTTGTGAGCGGTATTTATTTAGGCCACCACACTTGACAACGTCACAGCTGGGATATGCTACCCGTGAGACGAGGACCGTTTCCCCCAGAACCTATTTAGGTTGGATAGGTTTTTTCTTCTTCTTTTTTGTAAATAAACATGTTTTTTTTAGAAGGCGCACTTTTTTAGTTGGGTGGGGGGTTGGGGGTTAAAATATGGTCTTATATTTTCAATTGATGTTGACAACTTTAAACCTAACTACACCTCTGATCATACATAGTATTCTAATATGCAGATTATAGTACAAAACATTTATTTAAAAAAAAAAATTAAATGTAGATATATTATTTAGATGTGTGTATACAAAAATATTGAAGTTTTTAAAAACGTCTTTTAAATTTTTTAAAAACTGAAAACTCAGTTGCCAACATTGGTCATGCCAGGATTTTGTCTAATTTCTGCCAAAATATAACTGTATTATTTTCATTACACATGAACGGTGTATAGCCTAGTGAGCTGTTTAAGCACATAATTTTTATATTTTATATATACATGTATTTCCTGGCAAAGAGCCTACATTTCCGTGTTACGTTGATGGTGGCCTACTTTTAGAGAAGAATTTAGTGAAGTTGAACAGTTACTATCATTTTGAAAAATGTAGTCATATCTTCTGACACTGTTCGCCATAGTCGATGGTGGCAATATGTTATTCAGTTAAGTTTCTAATAATTTTCACCATAGTTGACGGCGGCATTGACTGAAGTGTCCGCGTCATCCACATGTCGACCTACCTGGAGCCGGTGCAGTAGATCGCCAGGTTGAACCCTATCATCAAACTTCTCTCCTGCCTGAAGACCAAGAAGGCGTACAGCGAGTCCGCGGAGCGCTCCAGCGCGGGCACCGGCGACGCGTAGCTGACGTGCTGCATCCCGTCCGCGGCGTACTGACCCGGGATGTCCATGACGAACCACAGCAGTGACGTCACGCGCGAGGATGGAGTCAAGATGGCGTTGGTGACGTCCAGGAGAACCAAAGTGTACAGCTTATCTGTTTGGTGAAAATAAATTTGTTTACATGAGTACACATTGGAATCGCATTTTATTCACTCCCTGTGATCCGTTTTTAAAAAATTTAATTGGTTGAGGTTAGGTTTTATTTTCAATTCTTAAAGTCCATTAAATCCCTGGTTGGCAGAATGCTTAAGAGCTGAAACATGGCGCGCGACCAAGGCTCAAGGCATAATTCCAACCTTTCAATCGTCAGTATTTTTTAAAAAAAATTTAATTAACCTTTTTGTTAAAAAAAACACCCAAAAAAAAATTTTTTTTTTTTGTTTTGGTTTTGCGGGCAGTCTACTTACCAACATACGATTAACTTTCATTGAACTATATTTAATATTACTTTTGGTGTGATCTGGTTTATGGGGATAACATTCTTAGGCTCAGTTCACACGATCAAATTTTCGACCATATTATACATTTAATGCGATTTTTGTATGGAGCCTTGTCACAACTTTCAAATCACTATTTGATCACATTCACATTTCTGTCCAAAAAAAAAAAAAAAAAAAAAAAAAAAAAAAAAAAAAAAAACAAAAAAAAAAAAATCAGTTCACACGATAAAATTTTCGACCATATTATCCATTTAATGCGATTTTTGTATGGAGCCTTGTCACAACTTTCAAAACACTATTTTATCACATTCACATTTCTGTCCAAAAAAAAAAAAAAAAAAAAAACACGCAAAAAAAAATAGTGCGTTCATACAAAAATTTGACGCGAATTTGAAGTTAATTTGATCGTGTGAACTGACGCCAACAGATAGCACCCACCTTCGAAAGCGTTAGCGTCCAACATATTGACAGCGCTTAGCCTCACATACGGCGCGGCTCTAACAAACACGGGGCTGACTGGGTCTGTGCTCAAGGGATCCAACTGGATGGTTCTTGCTCTGTGAACCATAGAGGAGTGTGTGTGTGTGTGTGTGTCTGGGGGGGGGGGGGTTTCCAACATTTGTTAAATGAACCTCAACAATTACTTTCATGACCACAGAGATTTCATTGATATTTATGTTTCCAAATATTAGTTGAATTTAAACTCAAGAGAGAGAGTAACTAGCACTCCATTCAGTCAACGCAAGAAAGGTATACACATTTTTTTGTTTGTTATAGTTTTAAATCGCTGACGTTCAACCACATTTAATCACTCTCGTACCCCCACACGTACCACACAGCCCACACTTCAGGCAGCCCCCCCCCGCCTCCCTACCTTTGCGTGACGGACTGACAGCAGGCGGTGAAACTGATGGCGTCACTTGTATATGTCACTTCCACCTCCACGTCCAAACTATTCGCCTCTTTACCCCTTGAGAAAATAATAAAGTTGTGTTCATTAGACCAAGTGCGCGCCCTCACGTGAAATGTACATTCACTCTGGAATAAACTTCATATTTTAAAAGATTTTTTTTTTTTTAATATTTGAAATGATTTTATGGTAATTTAAGTTTTCTTGTTGATTTGACGCGGTGGATTAAATAGTTACCGTGAAGGGAACAACAACAACAACAACAACAACAAAATTATTGTAGGATGGGAAAGGGGGGGGAGTTGTAGACATTGACAGGCATGACTTACCCAGAGTTGTTGTAGACAATGACAATCTTGACCAACCCAGGGAAGCTGAAGACAGGGACAATCATGACTTACCCAGTGATATTGTAGACGTTGACGATCTTCTGCAGGTTCGGCTTCATCCTGTACACCAACCACGGGCAGTTGTTGACGGTGTTCATGGCCTTGACCCTGGCCACGCCGTACGGGTCAGCCTTGGTGGGTATGAAACCCACGGCCATCGGATCTAGCATTAAACAAGACACAAAAGTCAGCGTATGTGCCAGACACAAAAGACAGCGTATGTGCCAGACACAAAAGACAGCGTATGTGCCAGACACAAAAGACAGCGTATGTGCCAGACACAAAAGACAGCGTATGTGCCAGACACAAAAGACAGCGTATGTGCCAGACACAAAAGACAGCGTATGTGCCAGACACAAAAGACAGCGTATGTGCCAGACACAAAAGACAGCGTATGTGCCAGACACAAAAGACAGCGTATGTGCCAGACACAAAAGACAGCGTATGTGCCAGACACAAAAGACAGCGTATGTGCCAGACACAAAAGACAGCGTATGTGCCAGACACAAAAGACAGCGTATGTGCCAGACACAAAAGACAGCGTATGTGCCAGACACAAAAGACAGCGTATGTGCCAGACACAAAAGACAGCGTATGTGCCAGACACAAAAGACAGCGTATGTGCCAGACACAAAAGACAGCGTATGTGCCAGACACAAAAGACAGCGTATGTGCCAGACACAAAAGACAGCGTATGTGCCAGACACAAAAGACAGCGTATGTGCCAGACACAAAAGACAGCGTATGTGCCAGACACAAAAGACAGNGGGGGGGGAAGGGGGGGGGGAAAGGGGAAAAAAGAAAAAAGATGAGCTGGGGTTTAAAAAAAAAAAAAAAAAAAAAAAAAAAAAAAGAACAAATATAATGTGGGGGGTTGGGGAAAAAGTGGGTGTGGGGGGGGGGAGGGGGGAGGCACTGAAAATCTGATAGAAAGTGTTGTCATCGGTAAAGAGACTATGTGCTGAGTTTCAGCTCGACAGCTTGACGGGAAGTGGGTCAATTAGCCGTCCGAGCAATTTACCACCCAGGCAGTAATAAAAAAACATGAAAAGGGAATTTAAAATAGAGGATTTAAATTTAAAAAAAATAATATAACAATTCAATTTGAGAAAGAAAGCAAATGCAAAATCACACCTTGGATTTGGTTGATCGCCGCTAAAAGATTTTCCAGTCTATAGAGGCCATTCTCTGCCACGTAGTCGTCAATGTTCTGCGTGATCAGGTCGAACTGAGCCTCGTCGATGGGGCCGGTCTGTTTGAACAGGGCGAAGACGTGTAGATTGACACGGTCGAACGCGTTCAGAGGTCCTCTGTATGGCACCAGTTCCTAAGGGAGATTTAGGAGTGGAGAATGAAATAGGCGGAATGTTATGTCGCACAAGAACCTGGGGGATGGTACAGATTCACGTTCAGTTCACTTACAATTATTCCAGATGGCTGATCTAATGGATTGAAGGAGAAAATAGATTCAACTGGTTTAAAAAATCGACAGGAATTAAAAAAAAAATAGATTTATGGCTTTAGAACAGTATAACTTCTGTAAAGCTGGTTGTTGGTGTTAATATTTCTTTCATGAGTTAATTTAGTATCTTTTTTTTGGTGTTCAATAGAGATTAGGTGGGAAAGGTCAAAGGTCAAACGATTAATTTTTTTAAAAGTATCACGGGAATTTAAATGAATGCAGGTCTATCATTTTTCGATTAGTATTATGTAATGTAACTAAGGCAACGAACACATTATGGGTCTAAAAAGGTACGACAGGGGGAGCAGTCCCCCCTCCTCCCCTTGTGAGACACGCCTCTTCTTATATCTGACATACTTGTCCCAGAGCCGAGTCTCCACCTTCGATGTTGACCAACACTCCGGCCAGGCCCAGGCTCATCTGACCCACGCCCACGTCGTAGGCCACCAGCGTGTACCCACCCCCTCCTCACTCCTCCCCATGTTAGACACGCCTCTGCTTATATCAAACGTACTTGTCCCGAGCCGAGTCTCCAGCTTCGATGTTTGACCCACACTCCGGCCAAGCTCATCTGAACCACGTCGTAGACAACCAGCGTGTACACAGCCCCCTTGCCCCCCCCCCTTGTGAGTCACGCCTCTGCTTATATCTGACATACTTGGCCCAGTGCCGAGTCTCCACCTCCGATGTTGACCCACAATCCGGCCAGATTCATCTGACCCACGTCGTAGGCGACCAGCGTGTACATGGCCCCCGGCTCGGGCTCCCATGTGATGGCCGGACGCCGGGCGAGTACCCACATGTCCAGGTAGCTGACGTGTGTGCTGTCGACGTCCGCGTCCATGAAGACGTTGGGCACGGTGATCTTATGACCGCAGGTCACGTAGGAACCTGGAACGAGAAACGTTGAAAAATTCCGGTGATTACAGGAAACTTTATTTTTGGACGAAAAGTTGTCTAGAATCTAGGTACTGGATGGGGCAGAGATTATCTTTAACCTGTTGAATTATATATGCAATGCATGACGTCATGATTTATCAACTTCCGGTGCTCGAAAGCGTTGCGATAAAAGTTATGCCATACATATTTTATACGTTTTATAGTTTCTTCATAAACATTTAACTTTACGCAATAAGACAATTTATGTTCAATTCGTAGGGGGTGCAAGAATTGGCCAAACAATTTGTAGAGAATGAAATAATTAGTCAAACTATTTGTAGGGTTGCAAGAAATGGCCAAACAATTTGTAGGGGGTGCAAGAATCGGCCAAACAATTTGTAGAGAATGAAATAATTAGTCAAACTATTTGTAGGGTTGCAAGAATTGGCCAAACAATTTGTAGAGGATGAAATAATTAGTCAAACTATTTGTAGGGTGTGCAAGTATTGGCCAAACAATTTGTAGGGGGTGCAAGATGAAAGTGGCAACAGAAAAGCTGACTAGCGATCAAAGTGGCCAAAGAAAAGCTGACTAGCGATCAAAGTGGCCAAAGAAAAAGTTGACTAACGATCAAAGTGGCCAAAGAAAAGCTGACTAGCGATCAAAGTGGCAAAACAAAAGCTGATCAAAGAGGCCAAAGAGCGGCTGAGTAGCGATCAAAGTGGCCAAAGAAGCCGTTTGGGTTGGTCACCCTTGCTTCAGTGTTATCTTGTATATCTGCCTACCTAGATCCAGGTTCTATTTCAGTGGACGAGTAGCAATATGTTCTGGCTCTCTTGTTGAGTGAGTGAGGAACAACATTTCCGCCCACCTCACAGACAACAAAAAAAAAAAAGTAATAGAAAAAGAAACAAACAGAGCAATGTAATCAATCTAACAAACAGAACAATTGAAACAAATTAACAAACAGAGCCATACAAAGAAACTCATGAACACCTAGAACAATCCTTTGAGGACTTACGAACCGGCGGAGGTGTAGAAGCGCATGCGCAGGAACTGTGTGATTTTGCTGACGTCAAAGTTCGTCCTCTGCAGCAGACGGGAGATGACTGTCTTCTGGGTGGGATCAGGGTTTAAACATGCGGGATTCTTGCTCCTGGTAGACTCCGGGCAGGCGGTGCTGAGAGAATAACGATATGAATAGTTATGAAAAATGTATAGATGTTAAGTTAAATTGAAAATGAAATAATAGGTAAAATAGGTGTCAATTTTGCAGTCTGTATCCTCAAGTAGCTCCGAATGCCCACTTAAAGTGTGAAGGGTGGGGGATGGGGCACAACCCAAACGTGAAACGCTGTGAACGGAGATTTGCCTGTTAACTCCGAACATCTTTTGTCCCCTAAAAGCCTAGCGATTTATCATACCAGTGGGGGCAATGGACCAGTGGGCTTAAGCTGGACACGTCAAATGACAGTATATTTTGGAACGGTAGACTTAAGGTGGCCACAGCAAATGATAGCATGTTTTAGAACAGTAAACCTTATGGAAATCAAAGAGTTTCTTACTTACAATATGGTGTTCACATTTAAAGGTGCATCAACATTTTGTAACAATTATTTTGGGGTCACCCCCCATGATATTACAACAGTAAACAGGAGCAATCAAAGCAAAAAACCCATTTCAAACCTCTATCCCCAAATGGAATTACTTGATTATGATCTTCTGGAACACGTTTTATGATTCGTCACTGGGTGGAGAGTTCTTCAAGAAATCACTCTAGATAAAGTTAATCATAAATAACGAACCTGTAGGCGTCCCCGAACCACCATGTTGGCGTGGTCAGGTAATCTCTAACTCCCAGCAAACATTTTGTGTCGTTGCCAACGTTACATGGCGTCTCATGGGCGAGCACTGTGGGTGGAAATAGAAAAAAAATTAATAAAAAACCCAATAGAATCAGATGACTCAAGATAAGCTTTAATAATTTTGTTTCCTGGATTCAAAGTACGGACACAAAGGCTTAGAGGAGCTGGAATCATACCGGCCCCGTGGTTAAGGGAGGTGGGTGGGGAAGAGTGTGGTTGTGCTTGACTTCTTTTGGACACCTAAAGAGCCATGTTGCCATCGGGCAGAACCAGAGAATGGGGCAAAGAGGCCAGTGACCAGCGGGAGCCAAAACCTTCTTTAGATGGGATCTTAATAGTGATATAAAATCCCATTTACTTCAGAAAGACGGGGGGGGGTGGGGGGGGGGGGGGGGGGGGGGAATTGTCTTTTTTACTGATCCGCCCCGAGGGCACTTTTTCTATATACTAAGTGGCGCCATTTTCCGGCTTCGCCCCAAGTGCAGCATTTTCTCCGCAGCGAACAAACAGCAAACAGTAAAAACAGAGTAAACTAAAATTAGCACTTAATTGAAAAATATTATTCTAGAGGGCAGCAAAAGAATGGTGAAAACCAAATTTTTAGCATTAGCGCCGGGAATCGAAACATTATAGGAACCACTGAACTAGCACATTGAAGATACGGTGGACGAAATTTAATATTACTGTAATACTAACTCGTTCATTTGTGAAAAGAAATGGCAACATTATAACGATAATTCCTACACAACATCAACATTGCGTGATATTTTTACAGCATTGGAGATATAAATTTGTTATTTTCGGACTGTTCGGTGGAGCTGAAACCATTCACTGCGCTGGCTTTTGCGGAGAAATAAGACAAGACAAATGGAAATAAGGCAAGCAAGACGTCGCTGCCAAAAGTACGGACACGCCGGACGACGAGAGGAAAATAATGACAGATACGGACGCAAAAATTAGTACAGACAAAAAAAAAAAAAAAAAAAAGAAGAGGGGGGGGGGGGGGGGGGTCGAAATCACAAACTGTCCGTACCAAATACGGACGTCTGGTAAAACTAATTAAGAATGAGTTTCAATTTTTGTTATTTCAAAAAAATAAAATAAAAAATAGTGAAGTTTTCCAGATGAGGTTTACAATACAACTATAACTTCCTATCTGATAAGTCTTTTATAGTTTTCATACGGTCTCAGCTGTAGACGGACATAACCCAGCTGTAGACGGACATATCTCAGCTATATATTTTTGTAACCCAGCTATAGACGGACACAACCCTGCTGTAGACGGACATAACCCTGCTTTAGACGGTCATATCTCAGCGATATAATTTTGTAACCCAGCTATAGACGGACACAATCCAGCTGTAGACGGATATAGCCCTGCTTCAGACGGACATAGCCCAGCTGTATATTTTTATAGCCCAGCTGTAGACGGACATAACCCTGCTGCAGACGGACATAGCCCAGCGGTATATTTTTATATCCCAGCTGTAGACAGAAATAACGCCACTCATTAACATCATCATTTCCGGAATGTGATTTATAAAAGAGCAGTGTGCATGAACTCACCTTGTCCGGTGGAGACGGACAGTGCCGCTGCTACGACCAGGAGACAGGAGTTGACCATGGATGAGCCGTACGTGTCAGACAGCAGCTGTTCAAACTACCGGATATGTCACGTAAAAAAAAAATGTTCAATCCGATGTATCAAGCACATCGCCGACCGCGAGTTTGTCTCCAGTCCAGAGTGTTCATTCCTTCAGTCCAAACCAACCGATGTCCTGTCACACACATAAATCCACCACACACACATACACACGCACACACACACACGGCCAAAACAATTTAAAACACACGCCAACACCGCACCACTTTACAAACCCGTCCTCCCCAACCCACCCACACCCCCCGGTACCCGACCCACCCACCCACCAAGTACCCGACCCATGTAAAAGTACCTTTCTCCCCCCCCCCTCCTCCAAACGTATCTTTGTATCTAGTGACAGGTCGTCTAAGGTTTATTTTTGGCCTGGAGTGGGGGGGNTAACGTGTACCCTGTCATCCCATTTATGATTCACATCTGTGCCTATGTGGCTTCACATTTTAGTTCACGGTGTTCATAAACTGTGCTTCTAGAGTCGAGACCCTACGTGAATGTCCTTCACTTCTGCCGATCAAATATTTGATTTTGCACTGTAATGTATCAAGAAGTAAAAAAAAAAAAAGCTATTGGTACTTCCTGACTTGCTTCAACACCGTAGTGCAACAGGACTAAATGACACCCAGGGCGGACTCCGAAAATTGCGCCTCTTTTGAAAATTATAATTATATCCTGTTATGCATTGCCGATGATAAGTGATCAGGCATTGCTGATGATAAGTGATTAGGCATTGCCGATGATAAGTGATAGGCATTACTGATGATAAATGATTAGGAATTTCCGATGATAAGTGATTAGGCATTGTTAATGATAAGTGATTAGGCATTGCTGATGATAAGTGATTAGGCATTGCTGATGATAAGTGATTAGGAATTGCTGATGATAAGTGATTAGGCATTGCTGGTGATAAGTGATTAGGCATTGCTGGTGATAAGTGATTAGGCCTTGTCAATGATAAGTGATTAGGCATTGCTGGTGATAAGTGATTAGGCATTGTCAATGATAAGTTATTAGGCATTGCTGATGATAAGTGCTCTAATTTCAAAAGTGAATGTTAAACAACACAAAAATAAACTTATTATCTTCATCATATCAGCTTCAACTTATCAGCTTCAACTTATCAGCTTCAACTTATCAGCTTCAACTTATCAGCTTCAACTTAAAGCATCCGCAAAACTTGTGACGTAAAATGACCTCCTGTACAGCCAGTAAAAAAACCCTAATGATGTCCGTAAGAAAGGAGATATTTTCTTTAATGCCCTGAACGCTCATAAAAAAATTAAATACATTTCACAGCACTTGTGATTTAATTCACCAATCCATAACATGAAGGTTTTTTCCTATAAACCCTTTATACGCATCTTTGTGTCTCACTAAGCGATGGCTGCAGTTCTTAAGAAATCATTGCCGCATATTGCCTTCATCTTCCCTTTGAAAATCAGGATAAACTGATTTTGGGGGGTCTGGGGGTGGGGAGGGGCTGAACATTTAATACAACGTGTTTTTTTAGCAACGAGTCTATGTGCCAAGTTTCAGCTCGATAGGACGACGGGAAGTTGGTCGTTTAGCCTTCTGAAGATTTGGCCCCAAACACACGAGGAAAAAGAAAGTTAGAATAAAGGATTTAAAAACAAGTATTCTTTAATAATCATGAGGTATGATCGATCCAGTCAGTGGACACTGATGTGAGAGCTCAGCAATAAATAAACGCTACATAACGCACATATTGATATAATTAAAGACCTAAAGTCATACTTAACGAATATTTTTTTTATAGACTCTTAGTTTTGACGAATTTAGACTTTTTAAAATAGGCCCCTATACTGTTTGCCCGTAAAATAATGTGTATTCAATTAATTGTTCCGTAAAAAAATATGTGATTGTTTTTAGCAACCCTTGCTCAGTAGCCCAAACTTGTGAATGAACAAATAAATCATACGAGTTAAATCGATAAAATTAAACGTTTTTAAAAAAAAATGATTAAAAGAAAAGTGACGTCACCAGGGTTGGTGTCACCCCCATCTGGACCTCCTGCGAGTCTGCTTTCTCTGGTGGCACACTGCTCAGGTGGCAACCTACTCTGGTGACACACTTCTTATGTGACTCCTTTCTCTGGTGGCTCACTCGTTTAGTGGCGGCAACCTGTTCTGGTGGCACCCCGTTCTTGTATTGAATTGAGATCAAACTGAGATCCACAATGACACTGACTCGAGGGATCTCCGTTAACTTTGGCTTTTCCCATTTTCATTGTCAAGCCCTGTGAACAAGAAGGTTTGCTGTGGACAAGAAGGTTTGCTGTGGACAAGAAGGTTTGCTGTGGACAAGAAGGTTTGATGTGAACAAGAGGGTTTGCTGTGGACAAGAAGGTTTGATGTGAACAAGAGGGTTTGCTGTGAACAAGAGGGTTTGCTGTGAACAAGAAGGTTTGCTGTGGACAAGAAGGTTTGATGTGAACAAGAGGGTTTGCAGTTAACAAGAGGGTTTGCTGTGGACAAGAAGGTTTGATGTGAACAAGAGGGTTTGCTGTGAACAAGAGGGTTTGCTGTGGACAAGAAGGTTTGATGTGAACAAGAAGGTTTGATGTGGACAAGAAGGTTTGATGTGAACAAGAGGGTTTGCTGTGAACAAGAGGGTTTGCTGTGAACAAGAGGGTTTGCTGTGAACAAGAGGGTTTGCTCACCAGTACTTGAACATCTGCCAATCTAGTAGTGTTGTTGTTTTTTTTTTGTTTTTTTAAAGAACATCTATGATATTAATTTATAAATCTAGTCTTCCATCTGGTTTAAAAAAAATAAAAATAAAAAAAATTAAATTATTTCTGCTTAAACACTAAGCATCTAATAAAAGATTTAAGAATTTGGAGGTGACGTCAAAAGCATTTGAACAATTCACTGGGAAAACAAATGAGAACCAGTGGCTGAAGGTTTAAAAAAAAATGAACTTGTTTTACTAGGTCTCAAAGAGTTGTTTTTGTGTGAACATTACACTATACATGTGGAAAATGTTTGTAGGTAGCGTCTGATAAACTTGCAATTTTCGTCACACCCGGCTCACTATAACCTCGTCACACCCGGCTCACTATAACCTCGTCACACCTGGCTAAGTATAACCTTGTCAGAGTGTACCCCATATGCATGCAGTGACGTGTGTCATGATTGAAAACATTCTTAAGTTTGCTTGGACTGGAGAAAGTAGCGACGCAGTCCACCGAGATCTCTTCCAGCCGCCCAGGGTCACTAAACATCTGAACAGATTAAATGTCTCCTTCTAAGACCCTAGACTCCGGAATGGGGCATCCACTCAGGAAAACCCTAGATATCTAGAGAGCAGGTTGGGCAACATGCCGAGGCCTGAAAAACCCCCCAAAAAACTTAAAGTTACCTTGGCTTTAGAGGGTGTCGTATATCATCGTCTGCTCTTCATGTCGGCGTTGTTAATCCATGTTCACGGACCCACATTTTTTAAAAGTTGTTTCCTGGTCCAAAAAGATCTATATTTGGTAGTTTCCTGGTCCAAAAAGATCTATATATGGTTGTTTCCTGGTCCACAAAGATCTATATATGGTTGTGTCCTGGTCCACAAAGATCTATATGTGGTTGTTTCCTGGTCCACAAAGCTCTACATATGACACCCATTTTCATATATATATAATTCCCAACAACTACGCCAAAGGATTTTTAAAAAAAGTAACGCAACTTCGTTTGGTGCGTAATCTTTTCTTTTCGGAAAATGAAGTTCTCTCAATTTAAATAATATGGTGTAGTAGATATTCGGTTTAAAAAGTAGTTGGGACTTAAGAGTATTTTAATATAGCTCATGGGCGTGAAAATGAAAGGTGTGCATTGACGCATCGTTGGGGTGAGGGGGTAGGGTAGGGAGGGTGGGGAGGGTAGCAAAACTTAGAATTCTTAAATGTGCGATTTACTTGAGTTCACGTTCTGTTATTAAGTTACTTTAGTAGATGGCGAGCTATAACTAGTATATGTATATATATAACTTCTAGTAATAATCAAAACTTTTGTTTGGAGATGCTGACTCCGCACATATCGGCATTGCTTCAAACGGCAGAGACAAAACTCTCTTTACGCACCAAGCGGTGCAAAATTGCACACATGGTCCGTCCCGAAAACCAGGGTTTAATGTATTCAAGTCATTTTGGGGATTTAACGACCGTGGGGAGGCACTGGCAAAACAGAAGCGCCATCTCGGAAACCGTCACGCGTCCTCGGAGATTTGTGACAGTTTCAAGGACAAGAGTTCCGGCTCCATGAGTGAACCGATAACGATAAGACCAAGAGCCGGTCCAGAACTCAGACGGTGCGCTCTCATATGCCGACGGGCGCGTAGCCTCGTCAAGGCCGATCAGGTTGGTCGTCGAACGGATGACTCTCGAAAACATGCCATTCTCCTTTATAGAACCTTGGCCCGTTTTTAAGGAGGCCGCGACAGGGTTGTGGAAACTGTAATGGTGGAGCTGAAAACTTTAACATTGTAGTTGAAAACAAGACGTTGTCGATGAAAACAAGACAAGTTTGATGAAAACAAGACAGTGTAGTTGGAAAAAGATAGTGTAGTTGAAATGAAAAGACAGTGTAATTGGAAAACACCGTGTACTTTGAAGGACAGTGTAGCTGAAAAAGACAGTAGTGCCATTAAAGAAACATTGTTTGTTGAAAAAGACAGTGCCATTAAAGAAACATTGTTTGTTGAAAAAGACAGTGCCATTAAAGAAACATTGTTTGTTGAAAAAGACAGTGTCATTAAAAAAACATTGTTTGTTGAAAAAGACATTGCCATAAAAGAAACATTGTTTGTTGAAAAAGACTGTGTCATTAAAAAAACATTGTTTGTTGAAAAAGACATTGCCATAAAAGAAACATTGTTTGTTTAAAAAGACAGTGCCATTAAAGAAACATTGTTTGTTGAAAAAGACAGTGTCATTAAAGAAACATTGTTTGTTGAAAAAGACAGTGTATTTAAAAAAAACATTGTTTGTTGAAAAAGACAGTGTCATTAAAAAACATTGTTTGTTAAAAAAGACAGTGTCATTAAAAAAAAAACCATTGTTTGTTGAAAAAGACACTGTCATTAAAAAAAACATTGTTTGTTAAAAAAAGACAGTGTCATTAAAAAAAGTGCAGTTGAAAAGGGGACGATGTAGTTAAAAACATGAAGTCCTTAAAACCTCCCATGAACCCACTATTGGACGGCGTCCATTAAG